CATCCACACCATAAACAGTGTTGGTGCTGCACTGCTTCCCCCTCCTGAGACGTCGGATGGTGGACCAGAATCGCCTCGAAGCCGTGCGGAAGTCTTTCTCCATGGCCTCTCCAAACTCCTCCCACGCCCGGGTTTTTGCCTCCTGAAATCCTGAAATAAAATCTGCTCAGCGTGTTAAAGGGTAATACTCATTGATTATTAGAAAAAGGCTGCAAAGGCTGCCAGGAGAACGTCTGTTTTACAGTTTAAATAACAGAGAAAAACAAAACAGCAGGAAAAAAAGGCCTCAGCAGTGGAGGAATGATGGTTTGGGTGTTTGTTGTAATCACAGGATCTGGACACCTGCAGTCTTTCAGCTGGACCATGAAGTCTTCTGTGAACCAAAAGGACTTCCTGTTCCTTTGACAGACAGATTGTGAGGCCATTTGTCCAACAGCTGAAACTTGTCCCCAACTGGTCCGTTGACCAGAACAATAAAACCTGAGCAGCAGATTTATGACAGAACAGCTGAGAAAAACAAATCTAGATGTTTCTGTGGGTCAGTCTAAGTTCAGATCTCAAACCTGGGGGAACTTTAAAAAGAACTAAGAGTGAACACAAACGGACACATGTCAATGAACCGACGAGAAGCTGTGAGTCAACATTCCTCTACAGAGATATGAGGGACTGATACAGAGGACAGCTCGAGTTCCTGTGGCTTGATTAAAGGAGATGCTGAATATAATGTATCCTGAATCTTGTTGCACCGCTTTGAAATAAAACATGCAAATTATCTGAGGTGTCAACAGTATTTATGTATCTTCACGACTCAGGTGGTATTAGGGTTTGAAAATACTTCCGTAGAAGCTGACATATCAGTTCAAGCTTTTTACTCAAGTAAAAGTGTAAAATACCAGGTTTTTAAGACTGTTTAAAGTATAAAAGTAAAATAATGTAAAAAGAAAACAAGCTTTTAATGGAAAAAGCTTAGTGCACAACGAGAAGGTGTTCAACCGAATCCCTCAGGGACTCCTGTGGGGGGTACTCCGGGGGTATGGGGTACCAGGCCCATTGACACAGGTTGGTCCCTGTACGACCGGTGTCAGAGTTTGGTCCACATTGCCGGTAGTAAGTCAGACTCATTTTCAGTGAGAGTTGGACTCCGCCAAGGTTGCTCTTTGTCATCGATTTCATTCATGACTTTTATGGACAGAATTTCTAGGTGCAGCCAAGATGTTGAGGNTAGTAGCGATAATAATATAATTAAAATAATGTTAAAAATTAATAAAATAAAGTAAAATCCTGTACAATGCAATAAAATTGAAATGACATAAAAATGAAAATAAGATACTGTGCAGAAATGTGACCTCTCTTTGTGCATTTTGGATGCAGCATTTTAGCCTCTTTCTGGCTTTTAAATGTTAAATGTTGGTGTCAGGACTAAACCTTGGTGGTTCACACAGGAGCCCACAGATTCAGGTGGTCTTTGCTCAGGTTGTTGTGACAAGTTGTGTTCCTCCTGCAGGAACCTAAGAAGAGGGGTATATTCAGGAGCGTCGACAGCGGGAACAGTCTCACCACTGATGACATCGTCCAAAGGATCATAGCGAACAGGTGAGGGTTAGATCTACCTTAAAGTCTGCAGACTGATGATCTACGTCTTTATTCACGTCTTTATGTGGTTCTCAGGCTGCAGTTTGAAGCCAGGAACCAGAAAAAGGAAGCCAAGGAGATGGCGGTGATCGAAGCGATGAAGAAGAGAGAGAAGCAGCAGCAGGATGAAGCAGCAGCTCAACCTGCTCACCGATGAACTCAGATAGATTTGAGTCTGTTTTACTCATTCAGGGACACTCAGCTTTAAATCAAAACAAGGACTCAGGAGAGCCTGGAGAGTCCACGTTGTCCTCAGCCAGATCTGTACTCGTCCAGTGGGTTTTAAAATCCTGCTTTAAATCTTTATATTATCTGCAAGATGTATCCTTCACTGAGCTTCATCCTGATCTCTGTTGTGTTTTGTCTTTCTTTAAGTCTCACACTACATGTGGTATGTTTCTAATTTTCATAAGTTATTATCAAAGTGTTACAGTTCCGTTTCTCTTAGTTTCATTTTCAACTGATTAATTAACAATCGGTCTTAGAAGGTTTAAAGTTGAATGTACTTATTTTTTTAACTCATTTCATTTCTCAATGTCGGCTTGTTTTTCCTTTCATTTATAGAAAAACATAACTGTTAAACAGTTTGTGAAGTAGTCTGTCTTTGTGTGTGTGTGTGTGTGTGTGTGTGTGTGTGTGTG